ATATATATATATATATTTTAGTTGAAAAATATTATTTCGCTACTCGAAACCTAACGAGTGGTACCATAGTCACGTTCTTATTCTGTTGCGTTAGTCACTATAATAGTGTTGGTAAAATTCTTAGTAGGCTCTGTGGTTGCGGTTTAATCTGATCTTCCACATCAGAAAAAGAGTTTTTACTGGAAAAGGTGTGGTAGTGTGAAACTGTTGTCTGGAGAAGTTCTGGCTAGGAAAGACTTGGTACTTAAGTGTGTCCATTAGTGACTCACCTCTCTTTCTTGGGAACTTACCTGGTGTACTGGTTCACGGTCTACTACTCTTGTTCCAGTAGACAATACTATTCATAAGTGAGAGTTGCATAAGTGGAAATACAACCATGGCAGCAAAGTATGAGATAGAGAAATTCAACGAGAACAATTTCTCATTATGAAAATTGAAGATGAATGCAATTTTGAGAAAGAACAATTACCTTGATGCAATTGAAGGAAGACCCGCAGAAATGACGGACCAGAAGTGGAAGGAAATTGACGGTAACACTATCGCAAATTTGCATTTAGCAATGGCAGATTCCGTACTATCCAGTATTGTGGAAAAGAATACAACAAAGGAGATTTGGGATGCCCTCATCAAATTATATGAGGTGAAGTCTCTTCACACAAGGATATTCTTGAAGCGGAAACTCTACACTCTTCGGATGAGTGAGTCCACATCGATGACGGACCACATCAATCATTTGAACACCTTATTTACCCAACTATCAGCAGCAGATTTCAACATAGTTGAAAATAAATGTGCATAACTTCTACTTCAGAGCCTACCAGACTCATACGATCAACTCATCATCAACATGACAAATACTAATATGGAAGGAAATCTACGCTTTGAGGATGTTGCTGGAGCTACTTTAGAAGAAGAATCCAGACGCAAGGATAAGGTAGATAGATTGGAAAATTCCAAACAAACAGAGGCTTTGACGATAATGAGAGGAAGATCAACAGAGCGTGACTCCAGTGGGAATCAAAATCATGGTAGATCAAAATCTCAAGGAAGGAAGAATTTCAAATGTTACTATTGTGGCATGAGAGGACACTTGAAGAAAGATTGTTGGAAGAAGAAAAATGCAGAGAAGTCTTCTGAGGCAACTACATCTCAAGGATGTGTTGCCAGTGCCTTTGATGATGGAGAAATCCTGTATAGCGAAGCAACTATTGGTTCCAAAGGTGAAAAATAGCTCACTGATGTTTGGATAATAGATTCGGGAGCAACATGACACATGAATTCACGAAGAGATTGGTTTTGCACTTATAAACCTATCTCAGAGGGATCTGTGTTCATGGGTAATGATCATGCCTTGGAAATTGTTGGAATCAGTACTGTCAAATTGAAGATGTACAATGGTACTATTCGCACAATTCAAGGGGTACGATATGTGAAGGGCTTGAGAAAGAATTTATTGTCTATTGGACAATTGGATGACCTCGGTTACAAGACCCATATTGAAGGTGAGATCTTGAAAGTAGTAAAAGGTGCTCTAGTGTGATGAAAGCAGAGAAGTTTGCTGCAAACTTATACATGCTTCTGGGAGATACGTTGCAAGAGGTGGATGTATCAGTTGCATCGGCTAGTCAAGAGGAATAAACAACAATGTGGCATCGTAGACTAGGTCATATGTCAGAACGAGGCTTGAAGGTCCTTGCAGAACGTAAACTCTTACCTGGGCTCACATCGGTAAGCTTACCTTTCTGTGAGCACTGTGTGACAAGCAAACAACATAGATTGAAATTTGAAAAGTCAACTACTAGAAGCAAACACATACTTGACTTGATACATTCTGATATGTGGGAGTCACCGGAAATGTCCCTAGGAGGAGCTAAATATTTTGTATCATTTATTGATGATTACTCTAGGAGATTGTGGGTGTACCCAATTAAGAAAAAGTCATATGTGTTTCCAGTTTTCAAGGAATTCAAAGCACAAATGGAGCTTAAAACTGGGAAGAAGATCAAGTGCTTAAGGACAAACAATGGAGGAGAATATACAGATGGTGAGTTTTTGGCATTCTGCAAGCAGGAGGGTATAAGGAGGTAGTTCACGGTTGCTCATACACCTCAGCAAAATGGTGTAGTAGAGTGGATGAATAGAACTCTCCTAGAGAGGACTAGAGCTATCTTGCGAACAACAAGATTAACCAAGTCCTTTTGGGCAGAAGCAGTGAAGACAGCTTGTTACGTGATAAATCGATCCCCATCAACTGTGATTGGTTTAAAGACACCTATGGAGATGTGGAAAGGAAAGCCAACAGAGTACTCTTCTCTACATGTGTTTGGATGTCCTGTGTACGTAATGTACAACTCCCAAGAAAGAACAAAGTTGGATCCAAAATCCAGAAAATGCATATTCTTGGGCTATGCTGGCGGAGTTAAGGGGTATCGCCTGTGGGATCCCACTGCCCGCAAGGTTATTGTCAGCAAAGACATAATCTTTGCAGAGAATGAACTGCAAAATGAACAGGTAAATGACAACACTTCTAAAGATGTTACTACTGTACAAATAGATGGAAAGTCTGGAGAAGAAGATTCTTTAGAAGCAAAACCAGAGCATGAGGAACAAGAACCAGAAGAAGCCAATGATACAGAAGTTCGATGAATAACACGTCAGATAAGGAGACCATCTTGACACTCAGACTATGTAATGGCAAGTCATGATGCATATTGTCTTCTAACAGAAGAGGGAGAACCGTCAACCTTTCAGGAGGCTGTGAGTAGTTCAGATGTTTCTCTGTGGATGACAACAATGCAAGAAGAAATAGAAGTCTTACACAAAAATAAGACATGGGAGCTTGTTGCACTTCCACAAGGTCGAAAAGCCATCGACAACAAATGGGTTTATAAGATCAAACGTGATGGTAATGATCAAGTGGAACGATATCGTGCAAGACTGGTAGTAAAAGGGTATGCTCAAAAGGAAGACATTGATTTCAATGAGATATTCTCTCCGGTGGTTAGACTTACCACTATCATAGTAGTGTTGACTATGTGTGCTGCATTTGACTTACATCTTGAACAATTGGATGTAAAGACTGCTTTTCTTCATGGAGAACTTGAAGAAGAAATTTATATGCTCTAACCAGAAGGCTTTGAAGAACAAGGAAAAGAAAACTTGGTTTGTAGGTTGACCAAATCTTTGTACGGTTTAAATCAAGCACCAAGGTGTTGGTATAAGAGATTTGATTCCTTCATTATTAGCCTCAGATACAATAGGCTGAGTTCAGACCAGTGTACGTATTACAAGAGGTTTGATGATAATGATTTCATCATTTTGCTATTGTATGTAGATGACATGTTGGTGGTAGGCCCCAACAAAGATCGAGTCCAAGAATTGAAGGCATAGTTGGCTAGGGAATTTGATATGAAGGACTTGGGACTCGCAAACAAAATTTTAGGGATGCAAATTCACCGAGACAAAAATGATAGGAAGATTTGGCTCTCTCAGAAGAATTATCTTAAGAAAGTCTTGCGGCGCTTCAACATGCAAGATTGTAAGCCATTCTCTACCCCATTGCCTATCAATTATAAATTATCTTCAGATATGTGTCCTAGCAGTGAAGCAGAGAGGATGTAAATGTCTCGAGTGTCGTATGCATCGACGGTGGGAAGTCTTATGTATGCTATGATTTGTACGAGACCAGATATTGTACAAGCAGTTGGGACAGTTAGTCGATTTATGGCAAATCCTGGTAGAGAGCACTGGAATGATGTGAAAAGGATCCTAAGATACATTAAAGGAACCTCAAATGCTGCATTATATTTTGAAGGATCAGAGTTTATTGTCAGAGGATATGTTGATTCAGATTTTGCAGGTGATCTTGATAAAAGAAAATCTACTACAGAATATGTGTTTACACTTGTAAGTAGAGCGATAAGTTGGTTATCTAAACTGCAGACTGTTGTAGCTTTATCTACTATAGAGGCGGAATATATGGCAGCTACCCAAGCATGCAAGGAAGCAATTTGGATTCAAAGGTTATTGGGAGAACTCAGACACAAGCAACAAAATATCACTGTGTATTGTGACAGTCAAAGTGCCTTGCACATTGCAAGGAATCCAGCTTTTCATTCCAGAACGAAGCACATAGGAGTACAATATCATTTTGTCAAAGAAGTAGTAGAGAAAGGGAGTGTGGATATGCAGAAGATCCATACCAAAGATAACCTAGCAGATGCTATGACAAAGCCAATCAACTCTGATAAGTTTATCTGGTGCAGATCCTCCTATGGTCTATTAGAAGCATAAGCAGCATGGAACAGACAAGTAGAGAAAGATTTTAAAACTTACAAAAGTGACTTTAAGTGGGAGATTGTGAATACAGTGGCCGTAAAGCCACTTTTGTGGAAGTCAAAATAAGGGAGTTATTTGTGAGCTATTTGTTGGCTATTGAAAGAAAATAGTCATAGTTTTATGGTAACATTAAATGCCAAGCAAAAAAGAGAAGTTCCTTCTTCTCTATAAATATGGCTTCCTCCTATGCTTTAAAAATCCATCCCAACAAGAGTGATTAAATCAGAGAGAATATAAAATTTCTCGTGTGAGGTTTTCTAGTAAGTGATTTCTCCTATTTTAAGAAGAAAGAGATAAATTGTTCTTTCCTTCTAATTTAGAGAGAAGTTGTAAACTTTTTTTTACATAGTGAAAATCTTTCTCTGGTCTTGTCTGTAGTTATTTCTTTATTTATTGAGAGTTTTTCACGTAAAATATTGAGTAACAATTCCTAATTTTCTCATATATATATATATATATATATATATATATATATATATATATATATATATTTTAGCTGAAAAATATTCCTCTGAAACCTAACAAGAATTGACTGTCTAATAGTGTGTTTGAATGTAATGCTTGTGCCTCTTTGTTTGATTTGGTAGGAGCAAATCATGCTTCAACATTCAACAATGACTTCAATTCTTCAGTATGATGGAAGTGTATACGAAATCCTGTTCCTACTTGTTTTCCTCCATCGCCAAAAACTTGCGCTTATGAGTTATCAAATTTCCACCATGCATCACTGTCGAATTTGATAGTTCCAGATCTTCTTGTTCTGATACCCAACGGTACCCGTATTTCTTCACTTCAACCAGACAAAATTTCTCATACCATGGGTCCTCTTCCCCCGAAACTACGCAGTCATGACTAAAGGATTTTATGTCATTTATTTTAATTTTCAACTTCAAGCCATCAATATTTGGCATGCCCTCAAAGTAGCGTTGATTAATGAAATCTTGCTGAGTTAGATAGAATAGCCACTTGTGATCTGATTCGTCCAGATCACTAGTGAAATTCACAGGAATGTCATAACCCGACCATGATGATGTTTCTGATTGAGAAGTGATATCCCGCATCTGAAATATTACACAACACACAACTCCAATCCAATAATTGTCATCGGTGACGGGAGATGCATCTATGATTATTGAATTGTCCTTGCTCACATGGTTATTGTTAAACCACCTCGGTATATCACTTCCGGGGACAATACTTCCAACATCTAGACTAAGACATTCGTATAGGTGGGTCCCCTTGAACAACCACAGAGCTGCGTTAGTTGCTGGTTTCCTACACAAAAATATATAAAAAGAATGGAAGAGGAAGGAAGGAGCATGCACACCTGAACGATTTGTATCATCCATGAAATACTCATGCTACTGCACCGTTCCCTATCAACTAATTCTGGACAGTTGTAACTCGCTATTCCTATATTAACTTCATCAGGATGGAAATGTTAGGTAAACATTAAATGCATGTAGTTGAGAGGTAGTGGTTATAGAGGTAGTAGTTGAGAGGTAGTTGTTGTATTGAATGTATGTAGTTGAAAGGTAGTAGTTGTATTAAATGCATGTAGTTGAGAGGCCATATCCAAAGGGCCTATAAATTGATCATGCATCACTCATTGCAAATACATCAAGTGATAATATACAGAGTGTTTTATTTAGATACTTGTTTGTCTACAAATTGGCATCAGAGCTTGAGAGCCTGAGTGTCTGAGTGCGTTAGAGAGAGTGTTTGAGAGTTAGAGAGTTTGTTTGAGATGACCAACTTAGCTAACAGCATGCCCCTACCAAAGTTATCAAAAGGTGTAAGCTATGATAACTGGAGCTTGCAAATGAAGGCTCTCCTTGGTTCCCAAGAAGTATGGGATGTGGTCGAAAATGGGCACCAAGAACCAGAGAATATTGAAGAGCAGACGATTGCTCAGCTTGCTGCATTGAGAGGAACACGAGTAAAGGACAAAACGGCTTTGTACGTACTGTACCGAGCTGTTGATGAGTCCGGCTTTGAGAAGATAGCAAATGCTAAATCTTCAAAAGAAGCGTGGGATATTCTGGAGAAGGCATATAAAGGGGATAATCGCGTGAAGCAAGTCAGGCTTCAAACTCTTAGAGGCGAGCTTGAAAGCATGAGGATGAAAGAGGTCGAAGGGGTTTCCGAGTACATCTCCCGTGTTGAGACCGTGGTGAATCAACTCGGAAGAAATGGAGAGACGCTGCCCACTTGCCGAGTGGTGGAGAAAATCTTAAGGTCGTTAACTGACGATTTTGAGAATATCGTTTGTGCAATAGAAGAGTCCAAGGACTTGTCGGTGCTCTCGGTGGAAGAGCTTGCCGGGTCGCTTGAAGCGCATGAGCAGCGGAGAAGGAAGAAGAAAGAGGAGTCCCTTGATCAAGCACTCCAAGCAAAGGAAACCTTAAAGGAGAAGAAGGTTCCTTATGCTCAGAACACTCAAGGCCGAGGTAGTAGAGGTAGAGGAGAATATGAAAGAGGCAAGGAGCCAGTCAGTCAACAAAACTGGCATGGCCGAAGACAAGGTAGAGGTCGTGACGGTAGAAGCCGAGGTGGTCAGTCAAGCAATTCCGGAGTTGAATGTTTCAAATGTGGGAAGTACGGTCATTTTGCTAAAGACTGTTATTCAGGTCTCAAATGTTATAATTGTGGGAAGGTTGGACATTTCGCGAAGGACTGCCAATCTGAGAGGAAGAAGGAGACAAACCTCCTCTCTGAGGACACTGAGGAAGAAGGAGTATTGATGATGTCGAGAAGTTCGGATGTCGAGCTAAGTCCGAGCTGTTCTGACAACTCGGTTTGGTATCTTGATACAGGAGCAAGTAACCACATGTGCGGGGACGAGAACCTTTTTAAGGAGCTCACTAAAGTTGAGGTCGGACACGTGTCATTTGGAGATGCATCAAAGGTGGCGGTAAAGGCGGAGGTACAATCGGTACACTGCGGAAGAATAGCCGAGTTGGAGAAATCGGAGACGTGTACTATGTACCCGATCTCAAAAGCAACATATTGAGTATGGGTCAACTGATGGAGAAAGGCTACTCGGTTCTGATGAAAGACCGAGTACTATACCTGAAGGACAAGTCGGATCGTTTGATTGCCCGAGTAGAAATGAAGAAGAACAGAATGTACAAGTTGGACTTGAAGATAGTCCAAGAGAGGTGTTTGAAACTTGACGTGAAGGATGAAGCAATGATGTGACACTTTCGATTTGGCCACTTGCATTTTGGCGGACTGACCAAGTTGGTAAAGAAAGAGATGGTGCGAGGACTCCCGTCTATGGAATTTGAAAAGAAATTTTGTGAAGAGTGTGTGCTCGGGAAGCATCCGAGAACCTCATTTCCGAGGACGGCCGAGTACCATGCAAAGGAACAACTCGGATTGATTCACACAGATCTTTGTGGACCGGTTACCCCTGAGTCCTTCAGTGGGAAAATGTATTTCATTTCTTTTATAGATGATTTTTCAAGAAAAACCTGGGTATATTTTTTGAAGGAGAAATCCGAGGTGTTTGAGGTGTTCAAGAGATTTAAAGCAATGGTTGAGAAAGAGACTGACATGCCTATCAAATCTGTTAGGTCTGATCGAGGAGGCGAGTTCATTTCATCCGAACTCATGAAGTATTGCGAGGAGCAAGGGATAAGGAGATTTCTGACAGCACCATACTCACCCCAACAAAACGGAGTTGCTGAGAGGAAGAATCAAACCATTCTTGACATGGTTCGAACAATGTTGAGAAGCAAAAATGTGCCAAAGGAGTTCGGGCGAAGCGGTGCAATGTGCCATCTATGTGCAAAATAGATGTCCACATGCTAAGCCGAACGAGAAGACACCACAAGAAGTCCGGAGTGGAAGAAAACCGAGTGTGTCTCACCTTAAAGTGTTCGGTAGCATAGCTTATGGTCATGTTCCAGCTCAACAGAGGACCAAGCTCGAAGATAGAAGCAAAAAGTACGTGTTTATTGGGTATGATGAAAAAACCAAGGCGTACAGGTTGTTTAACCCAATAACTAAGAAGGTCATCATGAGCCGAGATGTTCAAATTGATGAAGAAAGCGAGTGGAGTTGGAACAACCCGGAGAAGGAGTCCATAGGAAGTAGAAGCTCGGAAGTTGATACACCACATACTGTGAGAGATCATGAGACTTCTGATGAAGAAGATGAACCTCTACAGCCCAGAGCGCGAAGTTTACAAGATATATACAACTCCACTGACGAAGTGCATGTTGTATGTCTCTTGGCAGATTCAGAAGACTTAAATTTTGAAGAGGCCGTGCAGGAGAAAAGATGGAAAACTGCAATAGACGAGGAGCGCGGCCTATCGGCGTAAAGTGGGTGTACAAGAAGAAGACAAATGCTGAAGGAGAAGTTGAACGATATAAAGCTCGACTCGTAGTGAAGGGGTACAAGCAGAAGGAAGGAATAGACTATGACGAAGTATTCGCCCCAGTGACGAGAATGGAAACAATTAGGTTGCTGATTTCCCTAGTAGCTCAACACAGATGGACAATCTTGCAGATGGACGTGAAGTCGGCATTTCTGAATGGAATCTTGGAGGAGGAAGTATATGTTGAACAGCCACTCGGATACATGCGAAGAGGAGAAGAGAAGAAAGTGCTGAGATTGAAGAAGGCACTTTATGGCTTGAAACAAGTTGCAGCATCCTGGAGTGTCTGTCATGCAATTTGGCTTAGAAACCTTCTAAGCAAGCTGGAGTTGAAGCAAGAAAGAGGGACTGTGATTCGAGTTGATAACAAGTCGGCCATTGAATTGGCAAAGAATCCGGTCAATCATGAGAGAAGCAAACATATTGATGTTCGGTTTCATTTCATCCGAGAACAAGTGAAAGAAGGAAATGTGGAGTTAGAGCACGTCGGAACCCGAACACAAGCTGCAGATATGTTCACGAAGCCACTGTCAACCACTCTGTTCGAGAACAACAAGAAGATGCTTGGAATGAAGGACAAGAAAAGCATTTAAGTTTATGGGGGGATTTTGTTAGGTAAACATTAAATGCATGTAGTTGAGAGGTAGTGGTTATAGAGGTAGTAGTTGAGAGGTAGTTGTTGTATTGAATGTATGTAGTTGAAAGGTAGTAGTTGTATTAAATGCATGTAGTTGAGAGGCCATATCCAAAGGACCTATAAATTGATCATGCATCACTCATTACAAATACATCAAGTGATAATATACAGAGTGTTTTATTTAGATACTTGTTTGTCTACAGGAAAAGCATATGTAGATATGGCTGATAGTAACCTTTTGAGGGCAAGTCAGTTCGTGAAGGGAGATCTTGAGGCTGGGAAGCGTAACAAAATTGTTTCCCTTTAAATTTAGCTTTTCTAAGCAATGTAACTTTCCGATGGCATCAGGGATATGAACTAAGTTACTGAAACATAGATCAAGTTCACGCAAACAAGGCCGAGTAGGAGAGGAAGGTGTTAAACGTCATATGTGTTGATTGCATGAGATGAAGAAGAGGTATACTGGACGATGGCGTTAGAAGCCATTAGTAAAAGCAAAAGTTGTTGAGAATGATGAGTTATTAGAATTGCTGTTGAGGTGGAAAGCAAGAACAAGTGTCGGCGGATACAGAAAGAGATCTGGAAAGTGAAGAAATATAAATCCAAGCAAGTGTTGCGAGTCTTGCGCGTGGTGTGGGTGGAATTTCCAGTCTCCTTCTCCGAAGATCACATAAATGATATGAAAGCTCCTATTTCTGATTTTTGAGTTTTTTCATTGAAGCTTCTCCCTTTTACCTTTTCCAATAATTGTGTTTAAGAATCATCAACTCACATTGTTTGCTTCCTGTGGGGTCAAGATGTGTTCTCTTTCGTTCATCTCTTTTATAAATTATTATTGATATTTTAGCAAGACTTGTGATGGTGGGTCCATAACAAATAGCACCCTTAAAGTTCCAGGAAAGAGAAGTTTCCCGTTAAGAAGCTCAAATGCTCTCTACAGACCACATATCTAGAACTACCTAGCCCATGCCTTCTTGTCTAAAGCAGAAGCTGAACAATGTAAAATGCAACCATGCCTTCTTTATTAATCCAGGTAATAACAATAAGATCCACGGAGAAACCTGAGGGGATTACGTACTTGTTTCGGATATCCCAGCCAGAGTGATTGGCCACGCGTGTAAGAGCTTCTCTCCATCTCTGAATCCCCTCCATCATCTCATTATCTTTTCTGAATTTTTCTTCATGTTCAGTAAAGGCATTCTCATAATATCCACTTTGTTTTCGCACATCTCACGGATCCAACAACATCATAAAAAATAGGTAGAACGCGTCTTTCTGGTGTTTCAATGCAATTGCAGATGTGCGCAAGTTCACGCAAGCACCGTGTGGAGGAAGCATAGTTCTTTGAGAAGACCACAACGAAAATATGAGACCCTTTAATTGCTTGCAACAGTTCGGGTAAGGTTGCGGAGCGAAGAAATATAGTAAGGTTTGGGAATTGACCCTGCGGATGAAGATGGTTGGTTATGAAAATTTCTTTGGAGTAGCATGGTCGAATTCTCTTGGCATCTTGTATCAACCTTCCACCAAGTTAAGTTGCCAATAAATTATCAATGTTCTGTTAAGGCGTAGTAAGGTTAAAAATTTAATAATCGTTTGTTATATTTTCTTATTCATATTAGCTCGGTTTAACTGATTCTGTCAAAAACAGAGCAGAGGTACTTCATGATATCTTTTATTATCTCCATGATTTGGTTTTCCGATTTGGATGGACTAGAAAAGCAAAGTGAAAGACGGATCAATTTTTTTCTTCATCCAAAGTAAAAAGCGTACAAGGAAAATTACAAAAAAAAAAAATGTCTTCTTAAAATCATACTTAGATGGGTTTATATATTATTTAACGAGTCCTTTTTACATTCTACATTCTTCAGTATGATGGAAGTGTATCTGAAATCTTGTTCCTACTTGTTTTCTTCCATAGCCAAAAACTTGCGCTTACGAGTAGTCAAATTTCCACCATACATCATTGTCGCATTGGATAGTTCTAGATCTTGTTCAGATACCCAACTGTATCCATATTTCTTCACTTCACCTCGAAATTTTTTTTTATCCGTTTGCCAGAATTCCTTCACCGGATAAACTTTCTCTTCCTTGTTCACCAAATTTACCAATGAATCACGAAAATCTTCCAAGCCCCTTATTTCAATTTTCAATTTCAAGCCACCATGTATGTTCCTAGCGTTGCATTCATTAATGAACTCTTGCCGACTGAAATAGAATAACCACATGTGATCTGATTCGTCCATCACTAGATCTTTTCTGACATCCACAGGAATTTTATCACCGGAAAGTGGTGCTGTTGTTGGAGAAGTCATTTTCCGTATCTGGAATATAACACAACACACAACTCCAATCCAATAATTGTCCTGCGCTACAGAAGATGCATCGATGATTATTGAATTGTCAATGCTCACATGCTCATTGTTAAACCACCTCGGTATTTCATTTCCAGGGATAATACTCTCAAGATTTGGACCGAATGGACTAAATGAAAGACATCTGCATTGGTGGTTCGCCTTGTAGCACAACAGAGTTATGCGTTAGTTGCTGGTTTCCTATCAATTTTTATCATCCACAAAAGTAAAAAGAAAAGAAGGGAAGAGGAAGGAAGGAACATGCACACCTGAACAATTTGTATCATCCATGAAACACCCATGCTAGTGCACCGTTCCCTATCAACTAATTCTGGACAGTTGAAAATGTTTAATCCTCCAACAACTTCGTCGTGTTCAGCTGGACGTGAATTGGTAGTTGGTGAATATGGCAAGAACAGAAAGTAACGGTTTGATGGCAAGTCAGTTCGTGAAGGGAGATCAGGAAAATATTTTAACCGCTTGCAATGCTGTATGTTTAAATTATAGAGTCTGAAAAGGTCTTTGAGGCTGGGAAGCGTAACAAAATTGTTTCCCTTTAAATTTAGCTTTTCTAAGCAATGTAACTTTCCAATGGCATCAGGGATATGAACTAAATTACTGAAACTTAGATGAAGTTCACGCAAACAAGGCAGAGTAGGAGAGGAAGGTGTTAAACAGCTAACTGACTCTCTCTGTGCTCTGGAATACAACAAATCCAAAGGCCACGAAATCATTTTTTTAATAAAAGAGGATTTTGTCTCGGAATGGAAAGCATCTTCAACTAAACAAAGCTTCTTCGAATGCTCTCCATTACATCCTTCATCTAATAACTGATTATTATACAGTTTTGAACACCCAGAGACACTGAGATATTCAAGAGAAGTCAGGCCCAATAGGTTCTTGGGTAAGCTTACTAGGTTTATGCAGTTTTTCAAATTCAAAACAGCAAGCTTTCTCAGAAGGCCAATGGATGGACTGATTTTTTTGAGCTGTATGCATCCTTCAAGATCTAGCCATTCGAGATTTAGGGCGTCTCCAAGATCTGGCATCTCAACAAGATTTTTTGAGAAAGAGAGATCCAAACGTTTCAAATTGTGTAGAGGCTACAGCAATGGGCAAGAAGAAGACAAAATTAATAATGATACCAATTAATTAAAAAATAATTTAAATGAAAATACAGTGTGTCAATTAATTGGTTTATATTAAAAAAATAGAAATAGAAAAAAAAAGTACGCTACCTTTCTGCCTGTCCATAGTCGTTGAATGTTGCTCTCACTAAGGTTTAACTCAATCAGTTTATCTGGTTGAAAACTTTGAGGCAAACACTCAAAAGGAAATGCTTTCCATGTAAGATACCCTACTTCATTCGAAAGATGACTGAGACTTCCGGAGAGGTTCAAGTACTGAAGTTGAAGCAACTTAAGGTGCTTAATTTTTGATAGACCATCTGCCATCATTGTCGTTTTAATAGGCTTATTGAACTCATCGCCTGAAACAACGATAGCTTCAAGGTTTTCAGCTGCCTACAAACATTGTACACAAGAATCAAATTAGTAGGTTTTTTGAAGTATTTATAGATTCTAAAAGACTGACAATCTTAATATTTATAAATCAAACAATACAATTTTACCTGATTGTCTAATAAGGCATTGTGGAGATCTTGGAAATCCCACAACCTACTCCACTTTATAGGCTCCTTAGGTGATTTTCTCGTACAATACACTTGCCTAAATCTCTCAACAACCTATGCATATAAATCCACCCATGATCAGTAGTTATGAGTGATTTATCAACCAGAACTTGTATGCCATATTCTGGATGAAATCCTCGGAAATTTAAAACTTCATTCACATATTCTTCTTCATAACCACTGTAGAAGAAGCAAGCAATATCCAAAAATATTTCTTTGTCTCCTTCATCCAGTTGATCAAAACTTATACGCAAAACATCCATAATATTTCTACTTTTATTCTCTTTGAGCCTATCCAATGCACCATTCCATTGTGATACGTTTCGACCAAACAAAGATGACCCAATTACTTTGATTGCCAAGGGATGGCCTTGAGCATGTGATAGAAATTCACTTGCCAACTTTTCATATTCGCTCAAAATATAATTAACTTTGAAAGCATGTCTACAAAACAACTCGACAGCATTTTTTTCAGTCAAAGGGCGGACTTGATAAACATCATCCACTCCATGTGTCCTCAATACATGCTCATCCCTGGAAATTACGATGATTCTGCTCCCTCCACCCAAACATTCACGCAACAAAGTGTATCTATTCCCTGTAAACATTCTCAGTTGTTCAACATCATCAACATTGTCAAGAACAACAAATGTCTTTGTACTGTGTAGCCTACTCCACACCAAACTTGTTCCCTCCAAAGCATTGCAAATCTCTACATTTTTCTCCTTTAGAGACTGGGAAAGCAACTGCTTTTGTACACCTAATGAACTTGAATCCCGATAAATTTTGCTTACATCATCAATAAAACCATGAAAATCATATTGACGAGAGAATCTTTCATATAAAGCGCGAGCAAGAGTTGTTTTTCCTATGCCACCCATCCCACTAATTCCAACAACTCGAACATCATCAACTGACTCCAAACATAGAACATTTGCTAATTCTTCAATCCGAGACTCTATCCCAACTAGATTATGATTTGGAAGACTTAATAAGTTGGGACGCAGTATATTTATTATGTTTTGAACAATTTGTTCAATTTCTGCATATTGTTGCCTGAAATTAAAAAATAAAAATAAACGTAAAAATAAAAATGAAGAATTCCTCTCATCATTAAAAAGAGAATGAAACTAGATTGTACATATATAGGATAGATAATAAAGAAGAGATTTTATTTTTAAAGGACTTTATATCATATATATATATATATATATATATATATATATATATATATATGAAAGTAGGTGTAGAAATGTAAAATATTCGAGGATAAGGAAAGAGTGGGAACTTAAACTATGAAGGAGTTGGTTGAAGGGGATAGAGTTTAAGATTCTTTTTCTACATCAACGAACTCTTTTATAAATAAAGTTGTCAGCTATTCTCTATTCGACTTTTATAACTGGTACACCTTACTTTTGGTAGCCGACACAAGCGACAAAATAAAAGTAATTAAAACATGACACGTCTTATTTCGGCGGTCGACACTAAAGACAAAATAAAATAATTACAAGTGACTGATTTTTCTTCTGGGTTGGACCCAAACATCTTTTGGGCGAAGGACTAGATAAGTCCAATTGCTTAGCTGGGCAATACGAATGGAACATAATGCCTATGAGATTAAAAAAATGCACCTCCAGAATTCCAGAAAATAATGAATGACATACTAAATTCCTATTCAAAATTTGCATTAGTATATATAGATGATGTATTAATATTTTAAGAATCCATTGAACAACATAAAAAACATTTGAAAATATTTAAAAACCTTATAAAAATAAATGGACCAGTAATATCCCAAAAGAAAATAAAAATAGCACAAACCAAAATAAGATTTCCAGGACATGAAATAACCCAAGAAACAATAACTCCAATAAAACGAAGTATTGAGTTCTAGGAAAAAATTTCCAACGAAATAAAAGATAAACAACAACTACAAAGGTTTTTGGGATGCTTGAATTATGTAGTGGATTTTATACCTAATATCAGAATACTATGTAAACCCCTCTTTAATAGATTTATAAAAAACCCAAAACCATGAACCTCGAAATGACTAAAATAGTAATAAAAATTAAGACATTGGTTAAGACATTACCCTACCTAAGAATACTAAATCCAAAAGCCTAAATAATAGTAGAAATTGATGCATTCGATTTAGAATATAGAGGAATATTAAAACATAAATTAGAAAATAACCCCGAGCAAATAATAAGATATCATTCGAGAATATGGAATAATGCCCAAAAGAATTATAGTACTATAAAAAAAGGAAGTTTTAAGCATAATTTTGAATACTAAAAAATTTCAATATAATTTAATAAATAAAAAATTTCTATTAAGAGTAGATTGTAAATCTGCAAAAGAAGTTTTAGAAAAAGATGTAAAAAACATAATTTCTAAATAAATATTACGCTAGATGACAAAACCTATTATCCTGTTTTGAATTTGAAATAGAATTTATTAAAGGAAAAGAAAATTCGATACCCGATTTTCTAACAAAAGAATTTTTGCAGGACCACACCCATGTACAACCCCCTCTAAAAACCCAACTTCGGCTGAAAAAACTAAAATAGAAAAAGACTAAAAGTCCTCTACCCTATCCTTAGATGACTTTGTCTCCTCCTACTCTAAAACCATGGTCACCCGAAAACTTCCCACCTCAACAATCACCAAACCAAATAGATTCACCATCCTAACCCCAAAACCCCTTAACAACCTCCAATTGAAAAAACTCCAAAAAAGGAATTTCATATTAAAGAAGGATGCCAAAAAATTATTACCCTAGAAGAAGAATGGAACCCCGAAGATACTCATGAAATACTTAAGAAACTAGCTCCTCCAGGATGGAGCTGGATTCCTAAACTAGAAAATTTAAAAAAGAATTAAAGATTCTACCAGTTCATCCTAATAGGTACCGAATTTGCAAAAATAACTCTTATCCCCAATGAAAAGGATCCATTTATTATTAGTTACTTAAAATTACGAATTATTAGAATCCTCTCATACCAAGAATGGAATCAACATCCTTTCACCGATAAGAGCTTTTCGAGGCCCTTTGATCCCCTTCCTATAATTACTTTGATTACCAAGAAGCCTGGAATAAAATATTACTTGATACCAACCGTAGGCATTCCTGGTATATCTGCTTCAAAAAAGAATTACCTAACACCATATCCAACTGGTTTGTTGACTGGTTCCATCAAATAGGTCCAGTCCAATCAATAATTGTCGAAAAAATCATGAAGATTTACTAAAAATATAAAAGCCTCACCCCTTATTACCCTCCACACCTACGAATTATAAAATTTTATTCATCCAAGGGAATAAGCTGGCGCTTGGCCCACGTTCCCGAAATACACCAACACAAGGAAGAAACCTACCCCAAAACCCTCTGCTTAAAGACTAAGGTCTTTTGGTGGAAAAAATTTGAAACCCAATATGTAGAAGAAAAATTTGAACACTAGAAGAAAATGAACCTCATTACACAAAAAAGCCCAATCCGAAAAGAAATCTCATCCACAAAAGAAATAAGAAAAAGAATAATAGATTTATCCAAAATTCTCTCATCAAAAGAAGAAAATGCCCAATTAAAACAAAAAATGCTCGAAGCATTATCCTCGTTCGGTTCAGATGAAGAAGAAGAAGAAGAGAGCGAAGCCATCATCAATCTTCATATTATTACAAGATATTCAAAGAGCTTACAAGATGTTCAAGATATTCGAGGATAAGGGAAGACTTGGGAACTTAGGCTATGAAAGAGTTGATTGAGGGGGATAGAGTTTAAGACTCAGAAGAGTTGAATCTCTTTTTACTTCAACGAACTCTTTTATAGACAAATTTGTCAACTATTCTCTATTCGACTTTTACAACTGACACACCTTACTTTCGATAGCCAACACAAGCAACAAAATAAAAGTAATTATAACTTGACACGCCTTACTTTCAGCGACCGACACTAAAGACAAAATGAAATAATTAAAAGTGATTGGTTTTTCTTCTGGGTGGGACCCAAGCATCTTTTGGCGCGAAGGACTAGATAAGTCTAACTACTTACTTGGATGCTCTGTTTTAATGAGTGGGACCAAAACATCTATTGGACAAAGGGTCTGATAAGCCCAGTTGCTTACTAAGATACTATTTAGAAGGTTGGCACGTGAAGAGCCACGTCCTTTAATTTTCTCATAATATGCCTAATCTTCTTCTACAATTCTTCTTTTGTTGATTGTTGTTGCATTATATAATTAATCGTCTTCTATAAGTCTTCTATAGTTGATTTTTGTGATTGCTAAAATTGAGAGAAGTCAATATCTTCTTCGCCTTCGTAGGGATCTTGAACAACTTGAAGATTGATAATGGCTTTGCTCTCTTCTTCTTCTTCATCTAAGCTCAATGAGGATAATGTTTCAAGCATTTTTTTTTGTTTTAGTTGGGCCTTTTCTTCTTTTGATGAGAGAATTTTGGATAAATCTATTATTCCTTTTCCTTTTTCTTATGTGGATGAGATTTCTTTTCGGATTGGGCTTTTGTGTAATGAGACCCATTTTCTTCCAGTTTTCAAATTTTTCTTCTACATATTGGGTTTCAAATTTTTTCCACCAAAAGACCTTGGTCTTTAAGCAAAGGGTTTTGGGGTAGGTTTTTTCCTTGTGTTGGTGTATTTCGGGAATGTGGGTGAAAAGTCAGCTTATTCCCATGGATGAAAAAAATTTTATAATTCGTAGGTGTGGAGGATAATGGGGGGGGGGTTGAGACTTTTATATTTTTGGTAAATCTTCATGATTTTTTCGGGAATTATTGATTGGGTTGGACCTATTTGATGGAACCAGTCGACAAACCAGTTAGGTATGGTGTTAGGTAATTCTATTTTGAAGCATATATACCAGGAATGCCTATGATTAATATCAAGTAATATTTTGTTCTAGGCTTCTTGGTAATCACAGTAATCATAGGAAGGGGGATCAAAGGGTCTCGAAAAACTCTTACCAGTGAAGGAATGTTGATTCCATTCTTGGTATAAGAGGATTCTAATGATTCGTAATTTTGAGTAACTAATAATAGATGGATAATTTTCATTAGGGATAAAAGTTATTTCTGCAGATCCGGTGTCTATTAGGATGAACTGGTAGAATCTTTTATTCTTTTTAAAATTTTATAGTTTAGGAATCCAACTCCATCCTGGAGGAGCTAGTTTCTTAAGTATTCCACGAGTATCTTCGGGGTTCCATTCTTCTTCTAGGGTAATAATTTTCTGGCATCCTTCTTTAATATGAAATTCCTTTTTTGGAGTTTTTTTAGTTGGTTGTTGACGGGTTTTTCGAGTTAGGATGATGAATCTATTTGGTTGGGTAGTTATCGAGGTGAGAAGTTTTCGGGTGGCCATGGTTTTAGAGTAGGAGGGGCAAAATCATCTAAGGATAGGGTAGAGGACTTTGAACCTTTTTTCTGTTTTAGTTTTTTCAGCCGAAGATGGGCTTTTAGAGGGGGTTGCCATGGGTGTGACCTTGCAAAAATTCTCTTGTTAGAAAATCAAGTATCGAATTTTCTTTTCCTTTAATAAATTCTATTTCAAATTCAAAACAGGATAATAGACTTTGCCATCTGACGAATATTTGTTTAAAAATTATGTTTTCTACATCTTTTTCTAAAACTTCTTTAGCATATTTGCAATCTACTCTTAATAAAAAAAATTTATTTATTAAATCATATTGAAATTTTTTAATATTCAAAACTATGCTTAAAATTTCCTTTTTTATAGTGTTATAATTCTTTTGGGCATTATTCCATATTCTCGAATGATATCTTATTATTTGCTCGAGTTATTTTCTAATTTCGTTTTAATATTCCTCCATATCCTAAATTGAATGCATCGATTTCTACTATTACTTGGGCTTTTGGATTTAGTATTCCTAGGTAGGGTAATGTCTTAACCAATGTCTTAATTTCTATTACTATTTTAGTCATTTCGGGGGTCTATGGTTTTGGGTTTTTTCTAAGTCTATTAAAGAGATGTTTACATAGTATTTTGATATTAGGCATAAAATTCGTTACATAATTCAGGCATCCCAAAAATCTCTATAGTTGTTGTTTATCTTTTATTTCGTTGGGAAATTTTTTCGAGAACTCAATACTTCGTTTTATTGGAGTTATTATTCCTTGGATTATTTCATGTCCTAGAAATCTTATTTTGGTTTGGGCTATTTTTATTTTCTTTTGGGATATTACCAATCCATTTATTTTTATAAGGTTTTTAAATATTTTTAAATGTTTTTGATGTTGTTCAATGGATTATGAAAATATTAATACATCATCTATATATACTAATGCAAATTTTGAATAGGGATTTAGTATGTCATTCATTATTTTCTGGAATTCTGAAGGTACATTTTTTAATCCCATAGGCATTACGTTCGTATTGCCCAAAAGGTACGATAAAAATAGTCTTATATTTGTCTTTCCTTTAATTTTATTTAGTAATATCCGCTTTTCATGTCAAATTTCGAAAATATTGTGGCATTATAAATTCTACTTATTAACTCATTTTTATTAGGTAGAGGATACCTAATCCATTTTAAGACTTTGTTTAAAGGCTTATAATTAATTACCATCCTAGGTTCTCCTCTTTCTATTTCCGAAGCGTTTTGCATATAGAATGCAGCCCAACTCCATGGGGATTTACTAGGTCTTATCAATTTTTTTCTAATAAGAAACTTATTTCTTTTCTACAATATTCTAAGGTTTCTTTATTTAGTTGTACCTAGGTGGCTTTTGTAGGGATATCTTTTTAGAGAATCCTTTTTCATATAGTAATTCTATTTCAAACGAGTTCCTATTCCATAAGGCATTTGAAACTTCTGCACATATTTCTTTTATAATATCTTGTTCAATTTGTTTAAATTCTTTTATAGTTTTGGGATAATTTAATTGTTCTTCTTTTGTATTTGATTTCTTGTTTTAAATTGGTTATATGGTTTGTTTTAGCTTCTATTTTTAATAAAAAAAATTCTTTAAGTTACTTCGGTTACTAGTTTTATTTCCTTATCTTTTACCGGTTTGATAAATTCAAATAGAAGGTTTTTGTGTTTTATTCCGTTTTTGATACTTCAAAGGGGTATATTAATGCTAAAGAGGGAGTTTCTAGAATCATTTCTTCACTTATATGGAGTTAATATAAAGGTATTTTTGCTATTTGGTTTTTTCCTTTGTTACATATATTGGCACTGATGGATCTTCATACTAGTTAAGTTTTGTAACTTACTTGTATACTTATGATTTTGGTTCCCCAATATTAAATATATCATAAAGAAGAAAAACTGAAGGAATAAATTAAATAAGAAAGATTAAAAATAATTTTATGATATGACATTTTCATCTTCTCTTACTTTTTAATACTCTCTCATTAACAAGTAACATTTTATTAGTATCTAATTGTTTCTTTAATTTCTAAAGAATATATTAAATAAGAAAGATTAAGAGTAGTTTATCATTTTCTCTCATCTTTTTATATTCTCTTATTAACGGTAATATTGATTGATTAGTATTAAATTGTTTTTATAGTTCATACTTTCAAATGAAGAGAAGATTAATTTAAAATATCAACTTCATTATTTTATACTAGATGCTCCTAACTATCCAGATTTGAAAAATTTGTCTACATGCTTGAATTATATCAATCTTTGACAAAAACAGGGAAGTCACATACATTTTACATAATAGATTGTTTAATTTGTTTTATTTTAACTCTTATTGTTTCTATAGCTACAATTGAAATAATGAAGATTATTAAAATAAGACTGTGAAATATGATGGATGATGAAATTCTTGTAGATAATATGATAATTTATATTAAAAAAACATAACTGAAAACTTTAGTTTTAATTCATTATAGATGAGTTCAAACATTTAAAATAACAAATTACATAATTTTAAATAAATATTTTAACTTTTTAATTATTATTATATAATTTTTTTCTAATTGATTCCAGACTGAGCGGTCCAGATCTGCATATTGGCATTAGATAGAGATATATAGAGACCTAATTTGCATCTTACTCTTCATCCTCTTTCAAATCCAGTTTAGATCAGGGACAATAAATATGAGAAAAATACACGAGTATGAAATCATTAAATAAATGCATATGCTATGGCTCGGCGCATGTGTAATAAATTAAGATTAAGATCTGTTAAGAAAAAATGAGAAGGGATTACTTGTTTCTTATATCCCAACCAGAGAGATTGGCCACATGAGTGAGAGCTTCTCTCCATCTCTGCACTTCCTCCATCTTTTCTTTATCTTCTCTGAATCTTTCTTCGTGTTCTGCAAATGCTCTCTCATAACACCCACTCTGTTTTCGCACCTCTGAAGGATCAACATCATAAAATACAGGTACAACACGTCTTGGCGATGTTTCAACGCAGTTACAGATCTCTGCTAGTTCACGCAAGCACCAAGTAGAGGAAGCATAGTTTTTTGAGAAGACAGTGAGGAAAAGGCGAGACCCTTGAATGGCTTGTAGCAACTCAGGGGCAATGGATTCGCCTTTCTTGAGATCATCATCATCTTTGAAGGCATGGATGCCTTTTCTGCAGAGAGCTTGAAAGAGAAAACCAGTAAAGCTGTTGCGCGTGTCTTCACCACAGAAGCTCACAAAGACATCATAAGTCTTGATGAGCTGAGATGAAGAAGCCATTGCAATTGGAAGCAAAGTTGTTGAAGGGGCAAATTGAGGAGAAAATTATAGAAAATGAAAAAGTAATTGTGGCATAGGCAGGTGCTATCACTATCATATCGAGTAAGATTCCTCCCCTAACTGCGCTTCTTCCACAAATGGTCAAAAGTCCCACCCATTATTGTTAAAAGTTGCCCCCAATTTTGAAAGAGAATCAGTTTCATTCTAGTGACTATATATTCATAACAACAATTATGTTTTTGAAGATGATTAAAAAATTAGTAAATTATGTTAATGATAAAAGTAATTGATTTAATATTTTTGAAACAAATTATTAGAAATAGAGTTAGTATAAATATATTTAAGATGGGTAACAATTATCAGTTAATTTTAGTACATCACTTAAATATGTTTTAACAAATATCACTATTTTTTCCTCCTCGTAATTGCGTAGTTTTTGTCTATATCATTTATCAGTATGTTATATTTGGGTTTAGTAGCTATAAATATTTTATTTTTATTTTTAATCTATTTTTTTTATTTTAATCCCTATCAATAAAATACTTTTTTTTTACGTTGCTATTAGTTTGGATCCATTTTTGTTACTTTTGTTATTATAAAAAAAAATTTATAAAACATTTTTTTACGAATATTTTGTTAAATACTTATAATAAAAAAATGGTCTAGTAGATAATTTATTTTTTCTTGTATTTAATAAATGACATGATATTTTTGCTAAAGATTATAATATAAATTTATTATTATGCTTTTTTAAGTAAAATATAATTAAAAGTTAGTTGTTAATTAACTCTAATTATATAATAATATTTAAATATATTAAATGATTTATTTTACTTTTTATTTTTATTTTCAATTTAAATTAAATATTTCGTGTAAGAAAAATAGATAAAAATAAAATAACAGTATTGGTTTTGATAAAAAAATAATAATCATTTTTTGGTTATTTCTATTTAATAAAATATTAACACATACCTCCTAATAAGTATTGAAAAGACAGGAGTAACGAAGTTTATTTCTTTAGATTGAATTGTTGATAAATTGTATTTAGATTGAATATTATTTTCTTCACCCAAGGTAAAAATCATACAAGGAAAATTACCAAAAAAAAAAAAAATGCTTTTAAAATCATACTTAAATAACTAATTAAATAAGTGGAAAAAGAACTCTATCAAATTTTTACAGAATTTACAGAAAACACACTTTGTACATATTTTTATCTTTCTCAGTGTAACTAATTTAACTTATTAAAGAAATGGAACACTTTTTGTGGATTTATTATCTTAACTTTTCATAAGAGAAGTGAAGAAACAACATAAAAGTAGGAAGAAATTTTCGTTTAGTTTAAGAAAAAAAATTCTTTATTTTGGAAACCATTTAATATTATTTTATTTCATGTTCTTTTTTCATGCTTTTCCTCTAGGTGACATTTTTTCTCAAACCAAATACATGTTTTCTGACATCAAGCCAATCATCTCCTTACTTTTTTATGTCAGTAGTTATCTCTTTAATATTCCAGTAACAGCTTCCATTTAATAATTTATAACACCTTGCATTTAATAATTGATAAGTAATATTCTTATATAATAAGTAGTTTTTCTAAAATATTTTGTGTTTGCCTCAGGGTGGACTATAACCTTATGCCTAATTACTAAAACTTTAAATTGATTTTTTATTTATAATTATCCATTAATAATTTTATTTATAATATACTAACTATAAATTCTAATAGTCGGAGTTTTTTAAGAAGTGTCAGACTAAACAATATTCTTAATGATAAAAGTAATTGATTTAATATTTTTGAAACAAATTATTAGAAATAGAGTTTGTATAAATATATTTAAGATATGAACAATTATCAGTTAATTTTAGTACATCACTTAAATATGTTTTAATAAATATATCACTATTTTTTTCTCCTCGTAATTGCGTACTTTTTTTTTATATCATTTATCAGTATGTTATATTTGGGTTTAGTAGCTATAAATATTTTATTTCTATTTTTAATCTATTTTTTTATTTTAATCCCTATAAACAATTTTTTTTACGTTGCTATTAGTTTGGATCCATTTTTGTTATTATAACAAAAAAAAATTTTATAAAACATTTTTTTACGAATATTTTGTTAAATACTTATAATAAAAAAATGGTCTAGTAGATAATTTATTTTTTCTTGTATTTAATAAATGACATGATATTTTTGCTAAAGATTATAATATAAATTTATTATTATGCCTTTTTAAGTAAAATATAATTAATTTTTGGAAAATACATTTATTTTATTAGTTAGTTGTTAATTAACTCTAATTGTATAATAATATTTAAATTTATTAAATGATTTAGTTTACTTCTTATTTTTAGTTACAATTTTAAATTAAATATTTCGTGTAAGAGAAATAGATAAAAATAAAATAACAATATTAGTTTTGATAAAAAAATAATCTATTTTTGGTTATTTATATTTCATAAAATATTTACACATACCTCCTAATAAGTATTGAAAAGACACGAGTAACGAAGTTTATTTCTTTATATTGAGTTGTTGATAAATTGTATTTAGATTGAATATTATTTTCTTCACCCAAGGTAAAAATCATACAAGGAAAATTACCAAAACAAAAAAAGTGTTTTTAAAATCATCCTTAAATTTGTTTAAATATTATTTAACGAGTCCCTTTTACATTTTTTTTCTATCTAATTAAATAACAGGAAAAAGAACTCTATCAAATTTTTACAGAATTTACAGAAAACACACTTTGTACATATTTTTATCTTTCAAAGTGTAGCTAATTTAACTTATTAAAGAAATGGAACACTTTTTGTGGATTTATTATCTTAACTTTTCATAAGAGAATAGTGAAGAAACAACAAAAGTAGGAAGGAATTTTTGTTTAGTTTAAGAAAAAAAATTCTTTATTTTGAAAACCATTTAATATTATTTTATTTCATGTTCTATTTTCATACTTTTCCTCTAGGTCTAGCCTAATATGTATTTAAACCATACTAAATGATATGAGATAGGCGATGTAGGACTTTCAACACACCCCCTCCAATGAGACCTGACTTTTGACCCAACTAAAGGGCAACTTTTGGCCCATGACAATAACTGGAAAGATGTTGGACTTTGACTTAGGACTTTCAACATACCACCTCCAATGAGACCTGACTTTTGACCCAACTAAAGGACAACTTTTGGCCCATGACAATAACCGGAAAGATGTTGGACTTTGACTCTGATACCATGTTAAGATTCCAACATAAAACCAATTGACAATATGTGGAGTAGCCTAACATGTATTTAAACCATACCAAATAATACGAGGTAGACGATGTGTGACTTTCAACACAAACCAAATACATGTTTTCTGATATCAAACCAATCATCTCCTTACTTTTTTATGTCAGTAGTTATCTCTTTAATATTCCAGTAACAGCTTCCATTTAATAATTTGTAACACCTTGCATTTAATAATTGATAAGTAATATTCTTATATAATGGATCTAAGTAGTTTTTCTAAAATATGTTAGGTTTGCCTCAATGTCAGGGTGGACTAAAACCTTATGCCTAATTACTAAAATTTAAATTGATTTTTTATTTATAATTATCCATTAATAACTTTATTTATAATATACTAACTATAAATTTTAATAGTTGGAGTTTTCTAAGTAGTGTCAAACTAAATAATATTCTTAATCACAACATTAGTATACCGAGTGTATTTAATATTGATTATTTTAAACTTTTTATATAAGTTTTTTAACCGATATAATGTAGAAAATTTTCACTTTCTACATAAGTTCATCAACCAATATAAAAAAAATATAATATCAATTTCAAAAATAATTGATGTAAAATATATACGTTTCAGTAACTTAAAATGGGTGGAATGACATACTACATCAGTTTTACCATAAATATATGTATACGTTTTTTTAAGTTGTATTGAAAATTATCATTCCGAACTTGTAAATTTAAATTTAAGAAAAAATAATCAGACAGTTTATATATAATATAATATAATTTGTTTAATGTCATTTAGAAAAAGTACACATATATTAATAATTATGTTCACAAATTATTCTATAAGAATTACATTAATCCACCACTATTTCTAAAACTTAAAAAAAAATTAGCTCACTTTTATCTAATTTTTTTAATGGTGGTGTAATATGCAAAAATCTATAACAAATATACTATAGTTGTTATATTTGAAATTACATAATACGATAAATAATTTAAAGTAATTATTATCTGATCTCATGAATCGATAATAGACACACAAGTTATGGTCTACATCCAATGCATGACGTAGTATTCACATTCATAGCTTCCTTGTTGCTTATTACACTAATATGTCAATTATTAAATTTTAATTACTTACAAACTATAAAACATGTTATTAACAATTTTGATGTGGAATTATATACTTTAGGATAAATCCATTGCAGATTATGTGACGATGAAGTGGATCTATTTTCTAAAACATTGCACGCATTCACAATACTATATAAAATGAAATATTAGTAATTAACAATCAATAATAGTTTGATAAAATATAAAAAGAGGTAATTAAAATAATATTTTTGTACTAAAGTTTTGAAGTCTGCAGTTAACTTTTTATGAAGTGAACAAAATTGCACACAAGTGAACAAAATTGCACAATAGTATTTTTCATCAGAATTAAAATAATACATTTTTTATTATCATTTTTTCATTTTTTGGTGTGAAACTCCACATCTTGGACAATTAAGATAGCATGCATTTTTTTATACTCCAAACTCATTGGACACAAGATTTTCTTGGCTTTATATTGACGAGTGAAATGTGTACAGTAAAACTTTTATCAGTTCAACCATTTATTTCCTTAATATTTATCAATCATAATATTGCTGATAAAAGCGTGAAATGTGTACAATCTCGATATAAAGATATCTCTGAATCAATTTTCAAGGTTTCATACACACAGACTTGTGGAAAAAGATTGTCGTCCGTGTTAGAATTA